GGTAGGTCTCCCGTCTCCAGTGTCCTACTATGCACTATAGAGAGTGGCAAGCAAAGTGCCTCTGCACACTCTTTCAGTACCCATGGCGAGATCCCGTCTGGACCAACAGCCTTTCTAACATCCAGATCCAGCAGGTGTCTCTTGACCTCCTCTCTCGTAATTTCGAACTCTTCCAAGGCTGCCTGGTTTACTTCCCTTTCTCCTAGCACAGTGACCTCACCTTGTTCTGTTGTGAAGACCTCCTGGAACCTCTTGTTGAGTTCATCACACACCTCTTTGTCATTCTCTGTATACCTGTCCCCGCCTGTTCTAAGTTTCACTACCTGTTCTTTCACTGTTGTTTTCGTTCTGATGTGACTGTGGAGTAGCTTTGGTTCGGTCTTGGCTTTGTTTGCTATATCATTTTCATAACTTTTCTCTGCTTCTCTTCTCACCCTGATATACTCATTTCTGGTTCTATGGTATCTCTCTCTGCTTTCTGGTGTTCTGTTATTCCGGAAGTTCCTCCACGCCCTTTTGTTCAGTTTCTTTGCTTCCATACATGCCCCTATTATACCATGGATTCTTCTTTTGCTTCTCGGATTTTTCCTTTTGGGCCGTGATGTATCTGCTTACTGCCTCCTGACACTTTTGGGTGACATAGTCCAGCATTTCTTGCACAGACTTAGCTCTGAGGTCTGTGTTCCAAGGTATTTCCTTAGGAAGCTTCTCCTCATAATTTCCCTTTCGGTATGCCGCCTTTTGTTGCCTAGTTCTTTTTCGGGGGGATAATTCCTAGCTCTACCAGGTAGTCAATACACAAGTTCAATACACTGTGATCACTCATTCCCAAGGGTGCTTCCACTTTGACTTCTCTTATATCCCACTCATTTAGGGTAAATATCAGATCAAGCATTGCTCGTTCATCTTCTCCTCTCATTCTTGTTGATTCCTTGATGTGCTGGCTTAGAAAGTTTCTTGTTGCCACGTCCAGCAGCTTAGCTCTCCATGTTTCTGGTCCTCCATGTGGGTCTCTGTTTATCTTTCCATGGTTGAAGTCTCCCATGATTAGTAGTCCAGATCCATTCCTGCTAGCAACACAAGCTGTTCTCTCTATTATGTTAATGGTGGCCATGTTGTTTCTATCATATTCCTGTGTGGGTCTTCTGTAATTTGGTGGTGGATTATATATGACTACGACTATAATTTTTTGCCCTCCAGTTGTTATTGTACCTATTATGTAGTCACTGAAACCTTCCATCCCTGAACAACCAACTCCTCAAAATCCCAGCCTTTTCTTACCAGCAGGGCTACACCACCACCACCACCTCTTCCTTTTCTCTCTTTCCTCATAACATAACAGTCCTGTGGGAACACTGCATTTGTTATGGTTCTCGTTAGCTATTATGCTATGTGCTAGAGCTATTATGTCTGGGTTTTCCTCTAGTACCCATTCTCCAAGTTCATTTGTTTTATTTGTAATTCCATCTATGTTAGTGTACATTGCCTTGAGGCTCGCTTTCTTCTGTCCCTTTTCAAATCTCCTCCTTGGTGAGTGTTCTGCTGGTGGAGGAAGCTGTGCAATGGGTGTGAGGATTTGTGAGGTGGATACCAGGGTTGCAGAGGATACTGGGATGAGGGGTGGGGGGTCTAGTGAAAGGAGAGGGATAGGGAGGGTATGGGCTGAAAGGGGAGGGAGGAGAGGGAGGAAAGGGGGGTTTTCTATGCAGAAGAGGGTGGTGGGGTTGCCCTCCTTGCTGGTGTTACTGGGTAGCTGGTTGTGGGTTCCCCCCTCACAGCTGGGGATGTTGTGTTTGGAGCTGTGATTTCCTGGTTTTGCCCTCCCCCTGTGCTTCTTCCTTGCTTCTGCCGCCATGGCCCTCTCCTCCTTCGTCATGTCCCTCTGGAGGAATACTTTTTTTTAATTCTCCCACATGTTGCAGGTGGCTTTTCTTTGTTAGAATCGTCTCCTTTGTGTTCTCGTTTGCAAACACTATCTTTAACACACGGTCTTGGTCTTTTTTTGTACCAGCCTAACCTGAAAACCTTCTCAATGCTATGCTCAGCCCCTTCCATGTCTAGTGCCTTCAGTATTTCATTCACTGTCGCTTTGTCCTTATCATTCCACTCTTTCCTATTAGAGCCTTCCTGCTCTTTAATACCCACAGCTACCACTGATCTTTTCCTTTCCAGCAGCTGGCTAGTGGAGCGTGCCGCTTCCTGTGAGGTGGCTGCTTTCATGGCTACCTCCATCACTGCAGACATTACTTCAGAGTTGTTTTTTAGCATTTCTGCAAATGTTGCTTTAATTGTGGCATTCTCTTCCAAAATGCTATTACCACCTTCTCCATGGGTGGTTATCTGAGTCTCAGCATCGATACTATTCTCTTTGATGGCTCTAATCTCCTCCTTTGCTGCTGTCAGCTCTCTTTTTAGGTTTCTTATTTCATTCTTCATTTCCTGTATCATTTCCTGCATCTCACTCTTGATGTCCTCCAGAAACTGGGCAAAAATTTCCTTTATTTCGTCACCTGGACTTTTCATTGTTCCTGTTGCCTCTGGCTGTCATCCTTGACCCTGTTCCTAGTTGTGCTGTGATAGAATTTGTCAGAAGGGTAGAGCGGGGTGGGGGAGAGAGAGAGATAGATAGATAGAGAGAGAGAGAGAGAGAGAGAGAGAGAGAGAGAGAGAGAGAGAGAGAGAGAGAGAGAGAGAGAGAGAGAGAGAGAGAGAGAGAGAGAGAGAGAGAGAGAGAGAGAGAGAGAGAGAGAGAGAGAGAGAGAGAGAGAGAGAGAGAGAGAGAGAGAGAGAGAGAGAGAGAGAGAGAGAGAGAGAGAGAGATGGAGAGACCGAGAGGGGGAGAGAGAGAGAGACTCTCAGCAGAGTCCTGTGGGACTGCGCTGGTGACATCTCGCCACCCTGATGTATCCCCTCTCCTCACAGTTATTCGCTGTTTCCTGTTGCTTTGATTCCCCTTATCCACAGGAGCACCTTACCTTTCACTCCTGCCTGTTGCTCCAGCTTTTGTAGCAGCCTTTTATGGGATACAGTGTCAAAGGCTTTCGGACAGTTCAAGAAAATGCATTCTGCCCACTCTTCTCTTTCTTGCCTATTTTTTGTTGCTTGCTCATAGAATTCTATTAAACCTGTGAGGCACAATTCATCATCTCTGAAGCGATGCTGGTGGTGTGTTACCAAGCTATTTCCCTCCAGTTGCTCTACAAGCCTTTTCCTTGCGATCTTCTCCATCACCTTGAATGGTATACAAGTTAGGGAGACTGAGCTGTTGTTCAGTGCCTCTTGCCTGTCACCCTTTTTGTATATTGGGACTACATTTGCTGTCTTCCAACTTTCAGGTAGGTCTCCTGTTTCCAGTGACCTGTTATACACCATTAAGAGTGGCGCACTTAGTGCTTCTGCACCTTCTTTTAGTATCCACGGTGAGACTCTGTCAGGTCCAACAGCCTTTGTCACGTTCAGCTCCAACAGACTAAATTTTACCTCATCACTTTTGAGGTCAAATTCCTCCAATGTTGTTTGGTTGGCCTCGCCCTCATCTAGTGCAGGGGGCTTCTCCTTGTTCCATTGTGAAGACCTCCTGGACTCTTTTGTTGTGTTCTTCACGCACCTCCTTGTCATTCTCTGTATCTGTTCTCCCCATTCTCAGTTTCTTCACTTGTTCTTTCACACCTGTTTTCTTCCTGATGTGGTTGTGGAGCAGGTTTTGTTGGTTGGGTCTTTCCTTTACTTGCAATGTCCTTTTCATACTGTCTTTCTGCGTCTTTCCTCACTCTGAGGTACTCATTTTTGGCTCTCTGGTATCTCTCTCCCTGCTTTCTGGTGTTCTCTTATTCCTGTAGCTTCTCCATGTTCTTGAACTCAATTGCTTCGCTACCTTACATTCCTGATTGAACCATGGATTCGTCTGTTGCTCATAATTTTTTCCCTGTTGGGCCTGGATAAATCTGTCTGCGGCTTCCTGGCACTTCTGGGTGACATAATCCATCATATCCTGTGCAGTCTTTTCTCTGAGATGTGTTTCCCATGGTATTCCCATTAGGGGAAATGAGAAACCTCATTTCTTCGGTAATTTAGTCTTTTCCTTTCCAATCCTATCCTTGGATAGGTTATCCCTACCTCTTCCAGATACTCAAATGTCAATACACTGTTGTCACTCATTCGCAAGGGGGCTTCAAATTTGACTTCCCTTATTTCTGACTCATTCAAGGTGAATATCAGGTCGAGTCTAGCTGGTTCGCCATTGCCTCTCATTCTCGCGAGTTCCCTGACATGTTGGCTCCTAAGTGACTTGTTGCCACTTCCAGGAGTTTAGCTCTCCATGTATCTGCACCTCAATGTGGGTCTCATTCACCCAGTCTAACTTTCCATGGATGAAATCGACCATGATTAAGAGTCTTGATTGATTCCTACATGCATGCGAAGCTGCTCTTCTGTTTGCGTTCATGTGTATGTTTATATGTACATGTATGATATTGTTTGAGAACCTTTATGCGTCCATGTGTATGTTTACGTGTACATGTATGCTATTGTTTGAGTGCATGTATGCGTTCATGTGTGTGTTTATGTGTACGTGTTTGCTATTGTTTTAAAGCCTGCGTTTCTTAATGTGTTTGTTTATGTGTACATGTTTGCTATTGTGTGAGTGCCTATGTGCGTGCATGTGTGTTTATTTACTATTTGTGCCAGTATGGTTGAGTTGTTAGTTGTTGGACCCAGCCTTTCTAACCGTCGGTTGTCTAATTTGCTGATTTCCTACCTATTTTCCTCTATTATATCTGCTACATATATGTTTCTCTAACACACACACACATCCCATGATGCACCTATAGCAGCTGTCCAACTCCCAGGTACCTATTTACTTCTTGAACAGTGGCCTCATGTTAAAGAAAATTTGTCTATATATTTTGACAAATTTATTTCTGTGCGAGTGCGTGCAGGTGTGTACACATGTGAACATGTCACTAAACTCTGAAAACCATGTGTGGTGTCTCCCTCCACAGGTGGGTCCTGTGCTCAGCTTGCGTCACACCAATGCGGGTGGTGGTTCAGCGACTGCAGTTATGTTTTTCCCACGAGTCTCCGGAGAAACATGGCGACATGGTACTGGGCGCCAGGTGTCAGAGGCAGCAGCGGGGTGGGTCTCCAGCAGATACACATGATGACACGACCCCAGAACTTCCCAACTTGTCACGAGTGATTGTTGGTAAGATAATGTGGGGGTGGTGGTTAGCAGGGAGTGGTGCATCCCTATTACTGCCTTGTCTATTAGCGCCTTACCTATTACTGCCTTACCTATTTGTGCCTTACCAATTAGCGATTTTACTATAACTACCTTACCTGTTTGGTAAGGTACCTTACCAAATTACCTTACCTTACCTATTTTACCTTACCTATTACTACCTTACCTATTTTACTATAATTACCTTACCTTACCTTACCTATCAGTCTGTCAGGTGCAGTCGCAGTGAGAGGTTGTGTTTGCTGGAGCTCCGATTGTAGTAACATTATTATAGGTATAATGGAAGGATTAGTGAAGGATTTGATGAATCTAGTTGGAACTCTGAGAGCAGAGATGGATTCCCTACGAGAGGAGGTACGACAGTTGAAATATCGGGAAGAAACGAAGGAGGAGACCAATATTAACAAGACCTCGTCGTGGAAAGTCGTTATGAACAGGGGTCTTAAGAAGACCTTGACAAGGCCGCCTACAGACGCCCTAAGGACGTCAAATTAATTTGCCGTGTTGGAAGACGAGTGTTGTGGTGCGCCTGCAGTTCACTCGAAACGGAAATCAACGAAGAGCAATGAAGCACAGGCCCATCAAAGTGCTCAGAAAGTTAAGGAGGAACCTAAACGAATTTTGGTTGTGGGAGATTCCCAGGTGAGGTATTTAGACAGAACGTTTTGTGCCAGAGATAGGGGGAACAGGTTAAGGGTCTGCTATCCGGGAGCTGTAATTGGAGATATTGTTGACAACATGAAAGATATTATGACGGGAAATGGGAACAAACCCATTATTTGTATTAGTGCAGGGGGTAATGATGTTGGATGAGGTAGGAGTGAGGAACTGATAAAGAAATTTAACAAAGCCATAGAATTAGTTAGGAGCAGGGGAGGAATCCCGATTATATGTGGCATTCTTCCGAGAAAGGGCGTTGGGAATGAATGGTTGTCGAGGGCACTTGGTGTCAATTGCCGGCTGGAAAGATATTGCAAATCAAATGCAATATCTTTCATAGACAACTGGGAACACTTCTATGGAAGAAATGAAATGTATGCTCGTGATGGGGTGCATCTATCGAGGGCTGGGGTTGTTGGTGTTGCGAACTCGTTGGAATCAGTGGTTAGAGGCATTTGTTTGGGTTTAAACTGTTAGTAGATAGTGGTATGGGAATTGATTTGGAGGAAGGAGGTAATAAAAGTATGTGTTTGTTGGAGAAACAAATTGGCAAAATGATCAGAGCAAGAGAAGGGCCTCAAAATAACAATTCACTTAGGGTATATTACACTAACAGTTTAAGTCCAAGAAACGAAATAAACGAGTTAAATGCTCTTGTCTGTACAGAAAAAAATAGATATTATTGCACTTACCGAAACGTGGATGAATGTAGAAAATAGAGAACTATTAGGTGAATATCAAATAAATGGATTTATACTATTTCACACAGATAGATATAGTAGACGAGGGGGAGGGAGTAGCCATATATGTTAGGGACAATTTGAAATGTAGTCTCAAAGAGGGAATCAAAACTGAGCAACACACAGAAACTATTTGGATAGAATTAAACGAAAAAGCAAATAATATTATAATAGGAGTTATATATAGGCCACCAAATTTAGACAGAATGGAAGCAAAGCATCTATGGGATGAAATATCTAGAGCATCTAGATCTAACAGTATTTATGTCATGGGTGACTTTAATTTTAGTGGAATAAACTGGGTGAACAAAACAGGGAATAATGAAGCAGAAGATTTTCTAGAATTAATTGACGATTGCTTTCTTACGCAACATATTAAGGAACCAACGCGGGGAAATAATATTTTAGAGTTAGTGTTAACAAACAGGGAAACACAAATTAAGCAGATGGAAATAGGGAGTGAGCTAGGGAACAGTGATCATAAAGGAATCAGATTTAGCATAGAATGGAATACATCTGTAGGAGAAAATTCTGTTAAAGTGCCTGATTTTCGAAAAGCTGATTTCAATAGCCTAAGAAATTTTTTGGGTCATATTGATTGGAATGTCTTGGGGATGGGGTGTGGGCTAGACGTAAACCCAGCAACAGATGACGGAAAAGGGGATTTCGATGTGGATTCAAAATATAACCTATTTAAAAATATTCTAAGCAAAGCCCAGGAATGTAGTATACCATATAAATTGAATAGATCGAATACTAATGATCCTAAGTGGATAACAAAGGATCTAAAGAACCTTATAGGTAAAAATAGAGCGTGGTACAAAAGGATTAAGAATGGGGAAGTTAGTTTAGAACAGGAATTCGTACAACTGGTTAGAAATGTTAAAAAAGAGATAAGGAAAGCAAAAAGAAACTAGGAAGTTCGCATAGCAGGGCAAGCGAAGACAAATCCTAAAGGTTTTTTTCAGTTATATCGAACTAAGACTAGGGAAAGGCTAGTCTAGTCCATTAAAAATTAAGACAGGTCAAATAACGGATAATGACAAGGAGATGAGTAGTATTTTTAATAAATATTTTGTATCTGTATTTACTAAAGAGGAATTTAACAATATGCCTTCAGCCGAACAAATATATGTGGGTGGGGACGAGGACAGGTTGACTAGTTTAGCAGTTACCAGGGAGGATGTAATTAAACAAATAGTAAAACTAAAACCAAACAAATTCCCAGGACCGGATGAAGTGTTTGCCAGGGTACTTTAAGAATGCCAAGAGGAGCTTTCCGAGCCACTGTCTACCATATTTAATAAATCAATAGAGTCAGGCAGAGTGCCAGAGTCATGGAAGGTAGCTAATGTGGTACCAATTTTTAAGAAAGGAGATAGATCACTTGCGTCTAACTATCGACCAATTAGCCTAACGTCTATTGTGGGAAAGTTACTCGAATCTATAATTGCAAATAAAATTCGTCTTCATCTTGAAAAACATAAATTAATAATTGAGTCGCAACATGGTTTTATAAATGGCCGTTCATGTTTAACAAATTTGTTATCTTTTTATTCAAGCATAGTTGAGGCAGTTGATAGTGGTAGGGATTGTGATGTTGTGTACCTTGACTTTAGCAAAGCTTTTGATACAGTGCCACATGAAAGACTGATTAAAAAGATAGAGTCTCATGGTATTGGGGGTGCTATATTAAGTTGGATTAGGGCATGGCTATACCAAAGGAAACAGAGAGTTAGTATAAATGGAGTTAAGTTATTGTGGGAAAATGTTGTGGGGTGAAGGTAAAAAACAGGAGGTAATATTGAACTTCTTTTCCACAGCCCATAAAACGGAGGAAAGGGTCCTGAAAGATATTGTTAATAGAAACGTTATCCCTACAGACAAAAATCAGAAGATACAACTGACGATTTACTATAAAACCAAAAAAACGGCCAGCCTACTCATGAGAAACTCTCCAGACACAAAGCAGAACGCTTTAAAAGAGACCAACGTCGTCTATGCCTTCAAATGCCCTCTTGGGGACTGTAAGCCTCAAAAAACTCAGTATATAGGCAAGAGAACAACATCTCTTTCAAGGCGATTAACGATGCATAAGCAACAGGGCTCCGTTAAGGAACATATAATCTCTTCCCACAACCAAACCATCACCAGAGAAATCTTAGCAAACAACACAGAAATCATTGATAGATACAGCGATAGTAGGTGGCTTGACATCTGCAAGGCACTACACATCAAGAAGTCAACACCAGCAATCAACAGCCAATTAATGCACAACTATATTCTACCCACTTCAAGACTCTGCTTCAATATAGAAGCATCAAGAAATATGGGCCAATAGGCCCTCTGCAATTACTTTCATTCTTACCTTCAATACCCATTGTTTCGTGTTCTATCCTGTGTTGAAAGTTTTGTTCACCTCATCCAAAAAACTGTTGTAACAAATCACCTCACCCAAAATGCGGGTATAAGATGAAAAATGAAAGCTGTTTAAATCATAGCATAGTAAGAACTCTGTTTAGTGTTTGTAGGTAATAGTTGTGTGTGTGTAAACTAAAAGTCTTTGAAAATGTAATCAGTTATTACGAAACGCTTTCAAGTGTCGCGTCAGACTAGAAATAAAAATGAATTTTGGAGAACTGACTTTTCAATTACCATCAACAGTCAAAGAAACATAAGAAAGATCGAGGAAATTCGTGTTAGAATTATTAATCTTACTTTTTTGGTCATATTTATTAATATATATATATATATATATATATATATATATATATATATATATATATATATATATATATATATATATATATATATATATATATATATATATATATATATATATATATATATATATATATATATATATATATATATATATATATATATATATATATATATATATATATATATATATATATATATATTTGTATATTTTGGTAGCAGTCTTTCCTGTAGACATATATTATTAAATATGACCGAAAAAGTAAGATTAATAATTCTAACACGAATTTTCTCGATCTTTCGTACATTTCTTTTCACTGTTGGTGGTAATTCAAAAATCAATTCTCCAAAATTCATTTTTTATTTCTAGTCTGACGCGACACTTGAGCGCAATTCGTAAAACTTATTACATTTTCAAAGACTTTAGTTTACACATACACAACTGAATAGAACTTACACATCTCCAATTTGTTTATATCTACATTTGAGTGAGGTGGATGGGGTGAGGTGGTATTAATAGGGTATTAATTTCATCAACACAAGACAGAACACGAAACAATGGGTATTGAATGGAAGTGATTGTAGAAAGCCTATTGGTCCATATTTCTTGATGCTTCTATATTGGAGCGGAGTCTTGAGGTGGGTAGAATATAGTTGTGCATTAATTGGCTGTTGATTTCTGGTGTTGACTTTTTAATGTGTAGTTGTTACGAACCCGGATCCGACGCCCGAGCACGGAGCAGTGACGACCGCACCATCTGTGGGTCAGCTCCCGAAACCCCCTCCAAACGGACGACGACACCTGGTGAGGACGACGTATATTGGCCACAAGGGCCAGTTTCC